TCAAGTGATCCTCCCACCTCAGCATCCCAAGTAGTTGGGACTACAGACATGAGCCACCACACCCAGCTATTTTTTTCAATTTTTTGTAGAGAGGAGGACTCTCTATGTTGCCCAGGCTGGTCTCAAACTCATAGGCTCAAGTAACCCACCCGCTTCAGCCTCCCAAAGTGCTGGGACTACAGGCACGATCTACCATGTCTGTCCTGAAATGGGTTTTGTTGTTGTCGTCGTCGTTGTTGTTGTTGTTTGTTGTTGTTGTTTGAGACGAAGTGTTGCTCTGTCACTCAGGCTGGAGTGCAGTGGCAGGATCTTGGCTCATTGCTGCAACATCCACCTCCCAGGTTCAAGCAATTCTCCTTGCCTCAGCCTCCCGAGTAGCTGGGATTACAGGCACCTGCCACCATGCCCAGCTAATTTTTGTATTTTTAGTAGAGATGGGGTTTCTCCATGTTGGTCAGGCTGGTCTCAAACTCTCAACCTCAGGTGATCTGCCAGCCTCGGCCTCCCAAGGTGCTGGGATTACAAGTGTGAGCCACTGCGCCCAGCCTGGTTTCTTGTTTATTCATTTTCTTGTCTTTTTTGTCTGACATCTGTTTACCCTCAGCTACACAAAGATAGAAATTTTATGTCTTGTTCCTCCAGCATCTCCACAGTACCTAGCACAGTGCAATGTATACAGTTGGGGTTCAATGAATACTTGTCAATGCAGGTGAAATTAAGAGGACAGTCTTGGAAATCAGGCCTTGATTAAATCGTGCTTTGACCGTCTTCTTTCAAGCTATCTGCGCTCCCTGGGCCTCACTTTCCTCCTCTGTGAAACGGACATATTTGGATCATTGAGTGGATGTGCAACTACTGTAGATGAAAATAAATATTGCAATAAAGCCAGTAGCAAAGATAAAACTAAGTACATGCTGGCTGGGGTTACTATTATTAGTCCCCTGGGTGGGACTGTATTTATAGGACTGGGGCTTTTGAGCCCTTTGCTGACTTCTGAAGAACCACACCTCTACCAGGCTCTGAGTCAGGGGTAGCTGGAAGCCACCCTGGCACACTCTCCCACAATGTCTATCTGCAGCTCTAACCACTCAGTGTTCACCTCTTCACCCTCCAGCTCCCAGCTCTCGCAACTTGTCTTCACTGTTCCTCTTTCCCCTACAAGGCCACCTGGACTCTCGCATTCGGGTCCTTTAATTTCTTTATTTTCTTTTTTCCTTTCTCTTTTCTTTTATTTTTATTTATTAATTTGACACAGAGTTTCAGTCTTATTACCCAGGCTGAAGTGCAATGGTGCTAATCTTGGCTCACAACAACCTCTGCTTCCCAGGTTCAAGCTATTCTGCCTCAGCCTCCCGAGTAGCTGGGACTACAGGCGCATGTCACCACCCCTGGCTAATTTTTGTATTTTTAGTAGAGACGGGGTTTCTCCATGTTGGTCGACCTCAGGTGATCCGCCAGCCTCGGCCTCCCAAAGTGCTGGGATTATGGGGGTGAGCCACCGCGCCCCACCAGGTCCTTTAATTTCTTTCTTCCTTCTGCGTCTTCTCCCCACAGGAGCAAAAGTTGCCCATTCCGTCAGACC